AAATATACGAGTTCATTTTTTTGTGCGTGCATGTTGTGTTTTTTTCTAGTTTAAATCTTAAGATAGAATAAACGCCTCTTCCCACTGAAAGGAACAGTTCCAATTATTCTTGCACCACTCTCAACCGCCTGCTAACCTCTTTCTATCAACTCCCAACTACCTGGTAACCTCCTTCCATCAAGTAATCTCCTTCCATCAGCTCCCAACCGTTTTCATTGCCTCTGGACCGGGTTCCATTTGCTCTGAACTTCTTCCATTGCCTCTGGACTAGATCTTTCGCTTACTCCGACTTGTTTCCATCGTACTCCTAGCCGGTCCACGGGGATGTGTCCCCAACAGCCTCGAGTTACATGGAATCTTCGATTTTCCTCTTGTTGGCTTGTTCCATGGAGCTTTTTGAATAAAGTATGAAAGTGCATAGACCCTCCACTAATGTTCAGTACGAAATTATTAACCCAGGACCAATGAAGGTAGTTATCCCAAGATATATGGAAGTTGTTGCTTTCTATCTTGTGGAAGCAACCTTTTTCTGTTTTCTGGAAGCACCGCAGTCCAATAGAAGTAGTTGTTTTCAACCCAATGGTGACATCAATTTCTGATCTTATGGAAACATTGATCCGGGATGGAGGTGTCATAGTCCAAGGAGTTGCTGCCCTAAGGTCCATGGAGGCTGCTGCTTTCGGCCATGTGGAAGTACTACAATCCAATGAAAGTTGTTGCCTTCGGCTCTGTGGAGGCAGCAGTCTTTGGCTCCGAGGCTTGAAGCTCCATTGTTGTTGAGCGATTTCATGGCCAAGGAGCTCTAGCTCCACTTTTGTCTTTGTGCCTCCTTTATGTTCGGGTGTTTTTGGACCCATGTCCAACAATTGTATGTTAATATTATATTTTATGATGAATGTGAGTTTTGCATTAAAGTTTAAATATATATATATACATTAAAAACAAATCCCTAAATTCAATTAAATATTATATATTTTGGAAAAAAATAAAATTTTTTAGTAAAATAAATTTATGATGTTTAATTATACATATATGTTAATTATTGTATAATAAATATTAACCATTAATGGAAAATCTGCTAAAATATAAGATATCGTACAAATATTATGTGCATATATAGAGTCATAATAAATTTCGCAATAAATTAGATAACGGAAGTATGGTAATTAATATATTCCGAAAAAAATGATATAAAGATCTTGACGAGAAAAGAAGACGCAGAATCAATTCCTTCAAGAATGGAAAATGACATCTGATGAAAAATGAAGAATTAAAAAATCTTTCCATTGACCAACCAGAATGTGCCACGTGGCATCATCCGAAAAGAAAGCTAATGCTCGCCCTCTCATATAAATAAGGGTTTTGGCCAATTCATTTGACACACCAAAGTTCATTAGAAGACTCGAGCAAAGGGATAAGTCTCTGGACCCTCTCTACAATGTTCTTCATGTTCTTCGTGTCCGTCGAAAAATTTCCGATTTGAACAAATGATCCAATATTGATTGATAAATCGATGAAATTAACGTTTTTCGTCGTATGTCCAAGCCGAAGGAAATATCAAAGCTCCAAAAGCCGTTGAAGAATCCGTTAAAGCCAAAGAAATGCTTTCAAAGTTCATTCTAAAGCTTTAATACGTTCGTCGCATTTTTTGTCAAAACGATCAACCCGGACCTCTTCGATCCAAAAGTCAAAGGGACATGCCGCCAAAAAATATTATGAAGTTCCAAATTCACCTCCTCAAAAATCAAAGCCCCAAATCCCCCAAAAAGAAGTCTTCAAAGCCAAAGTCGAAGATCAAAATCGTCCGCACGGAGACCAAAATCCTTCAGAAGTCAAAAAAGCTAAACCGAAGACCAAATCTCTTTAGATCAAAGAAGCCATCCAAATTCAAATTAGAAAATAAATCGATTTGGAAAGAGAATCAAATGACCCATTTAGATAATAGGATCCACCTTAAAGTAAATTCAAATTAAATATAATTTGTACAAATATTATGTTTATGAAAATAACACATTTTTTTTTCTACAAATTTTGACACGCCCAGTGGAATTACTCTACATTTTATCTCTCATTCCATCGAATTCTTAACAACTAATGGTTTCCTACAAGATCAAAACTTCCAATGCTACGCCAAAAGTTGCTACTCAAGTCGCCGTCGCCAAAGGAATCGCTGCATCCACCGCATCAAGAACCTCAAGCGCTTCAACGAATGATGAAGTGACGGCACGAAGCATGACCAAAAGAAAGTTATCGTTCTCTGAGAATACTCTTCCAAAAATCACAGAGAAAATGCACTCTATGAAAAAAGACGAAAGCTTTAGGAATACTTCCACATCGTTCACCCCTCAACAAACTGCCAGTCTTTCAACCGCATAAAGCTCTGCGCCACTGCTGACAACCAACGCTTCAAATAATGAGGACTCGAAGATTGCTGATCAAAACCTGCTTTTCGAGGAAGATCAAAGCTTCATAGGCACTTTCACGCCATCTACTCATCGACCACCTTCAAGTCATTCGACTACGTCAAGTTTCGCTTCCCTAATGAGTATCAATGGTCAAATATAGAGGACCAACTTGTCATATTGACCAAAATCGTTGAAGGGATGTCTTAACACATGCAACAACAAGACACCCTTAATATGCTATTGGGATATCAACCACTGAAGTTCCAAAAATTCGATGGCATGAGCAACCCAAAATAACATGTGGCACACTTCGTTGAAACATGCAACAATGCTCGAACATGCGAAAACCTCCAGATGAAGCAATTTGTACGGTCACTAAAGGGCAACGCATTCGACCGGTACATCGACTTGAAAGCTAGTTTCATTGAAAGTTGAGAGCAGTTAGAGTTTAAAATTTTAAATCGGTTCTACAGCATAAAGAGGACCGTCAATATAACCTAACTCACCAATAGCTGCCAGTGAAAGGATAAACCAGTAATTGATTACATCAACCGGTGAAAAAGTTTAAGTCTCAACTACAAAAACTATTTTTCCGAAGCTTCTAACATAGAAAAATGCAGTATTAATAATTGATATATATTATACAAAATCTAATACCTATATCATATATATATATAGTTTATTATTTTGTTCACAAAAATGTAATATCCAATTCAAAATATTGTTTTTTATATTATTGATATAATTTATCATATTTTACATTAAAAGACTAAACTAACAAATCCAAAATTTGTAAATGTGAAAACATTTATGCGATATTTAGTCTAAAACAAAAAAGACACTGACCAGCCAGCTGTAATTGGAAAAACAATAAAGAATCGTCCTACTAAATATTTTCAATCAACTCAAGTCTTGCAAGTGATAACTAAATTGTCAAAAACAAAATGAATTTTAATCCGAAACGAAACAAAATAAAACCAAAACAAGAAAGCAAAATATGTATGGTATGAATCACCAAAAACCCATATCCAATTTCAAACCGCAAAAAGTTGTCAAATGATGTCATGATTTGTTTTTCATACAAAGTCCTAAAACAAAATACTATTATTCTTATTCATGCTCTACACTGAATAGGAATATGCACAAAGATTTTTAGAGTTTTAAAATTTTAAACATCTTATTTGATATACTATTTTTTAAAAATTTAAAAAAATATCAAAATTCAAAAGTATTATTGTGTAATTAGAGCCATAATTGCTACTCTTCGTGACCATTGTATTGTAATTTAATTGAATTTATTTTATTCTTTCCATGTAAAAAAATATACTTAAAATGATTATATAAAAAATACACTAATATATATTTCTTCTGTTAAAATGAGTTTATAAAATATACTCTAATATATATTTCTTTTGTTTCAACTCAAAAAATATATATTTGTATTAATTTTGTTTATTATCTATTTCATATTTTAGTAAAAATAATTATACATTAATACCAAACTATTTTATAACTTTTATTTAAATTACAAACATATCATTACACATACAATTAATTTATACATAAAATTAAATGACAAAAATATCAAAATTTTTGATACACTTCCGCTAATTAATAAAATAATACACCCTCTGTCTATCCCTAGAGGTCACATTTACATTTTTTTTTTTTCATTATACTTAAAATTGAAAATATCCTTATATTATAATTTTGATACAAATGTCTTATATTAGTATAAGACACTAATGAAAGTATTTTTGCAATTTTTTCTTAATTTGTATTATGTTTGATATAATAATTAATATTCAAATATTAATACAAAAAAAAAAGTAAATAAGACCCTTAGAACCGAATGAATGTAGTATTATTTTTTAATCCAATACAACGCTCCAAAAGATACTTTAGAATGGGACGAACGGAGTATAATGGATCAATATGCTTACTCGTAATTACAAAATCTTAATTATCAAGTCCTTATAAATCAAGTGGCGAGGTATTTCATGCCTAGAAGTTACAATTCAAGTTCGATCTTAGATGGGTATATGCATGTTGGGTAAAAGAAAAACAAATTATAGAATAACCGTTGAATTAAGGTTTATGCCTTTAATTCGTCAACTCGTGAATGTTTCAAACTTACGTAGTAATAAAAAGAAGAAGAAGAAGAAGAAGAAGATAGAGAGGGGGGCGAGGGAATGGGACACTACAAGAAAATATCAATTTTGTAACAAGGGTTTTTAGTCCCTAAATGTATTTTTTCTGTTACTAATGATATTAGAGACGGAATTACTAATGAAATTACGTTAGCTACGTGAACTTTAGAAACGGAATTCCATTACAAATATACTATTTTTTTGTAGTGGGATAGTGAGTTTTGGGGTTATCAATTAGGTGGTGCGTGCGAGGCCATTTGCATGTTGCTTCGAACCTTGAACAAGCTAAGCTAGGCAATGAGGCCCATAACTTAGTATTTTGTTGCTACACTCATCCAACTATTATCTCCCTATCCAGCTTTATTTCTCGTTACAAATGACCATGCATGCAATGCAATGCATCAATCTCACCCTACCCCCTTCACTATAAATACTACCCCTTTGGTACATTGATATCCCATCACCACTTACACAAACGCATCACATATATACATAATACACATCTTAGGAAATCAGATCCCAATCCCAAGATGTGGACAAGAAATTTAGTTATTGGTTGTGTTGTTTCCCTGCTGCTTGTTTCTGCCAATGCATATGGTGGCTTTGTGGAAACGAGGGGTAGCCGTTTCGAGCTTGACGGAAAGCCCTTTTACTTTAATGGTTTTAACTCGTATTGGCTCATGTATATGGCTTCAGATCCAACCACTAAGGACATGGTCACTGATACCTTTGCCCAAGCTTCAAGATATGGGATGACCGTCGCAAGAACCTGGGCTTTTAGCGATGGCGGCTATAGGGCTTTGCAGTCGTCGCCCGGCGTTTATAATGAGGATATGTTTAAGGTAATTAAATACCCTAGTAGATGTCATATGCACCATCAATAGACATATATAGAAACAACGAAACAAACATTGGCATGCATGCCTGGTGTCCTTAATTTGAACTTGGATTATATACATGTATATGTTGAATTAATTAATGATGCGTGCAGGGGTTGGATTTTGTGATATCGGAAGCTAGAAAGTATGGAATACGTTTGATATTGAGCTTGGTGAACAATTGGGAAGGTTTTGGAGGGAAAAAGCAATACGTGCAATGGGCAAGGGACAGGGGACAATATATTAACAATGAGGATGACTTCTTTAGGAACCCTATCGTCAAAGGTTACTACAAGGATCACATCAAGGTAATTAATTAATTAATTCATTCATGACATGCACTCCTCCTCCTCCTTCTTCTTCTTCTTCTTCTTACATAATATTTTCTTCAATTGAGTACAAAACTATATATGTATATAATAAATAATGTAGGCTGTGCTGACAAGAAAGAATTCGATAAGTGGGGTTGCTTACAGAGATGATCCCACCATATTCGCGTGGGAGCTAATGAACGAACCTCGTTGCCAATCCGACCTCTCTGGGAGATCCCTTCAGGTAATTATATAATTTGGACATATATAATATGTATGAATATATATATATATATGATATGTGTGTGTGTGTAGGAGTGGGCAAGTGAGATGTCTGCGTACGTGAAGTCGCTGGATCCGAAGCACCTTCTGGAAATCGGATTGGAAGGGTTCTACGGGGAGTCGACGCCTCAGAAGAAGCTCGCCAATCCCGGATATGAAGTGGGCACCGACTTCATCGCCAACAACCGTCTTCGCCTCATAGACTTTGCCACCATTCATCTCTATCCGGACCAATGGTAATCAATGATGGATCGATGGGATCATATATATATATATATATATATAATAGCTAGAATTATTAATCAATCAATATCTCCAAATATCCAACAGGATGCCCGGGTCCAACGACGATGCCCAGGCGGCCTTTGTCGACCAGTGGATCGGGCAGCACATCTCGGACTGCAAGTCCGTCCTGGGGAAGCCGCTGGTGCTGACGGAGTTCGGGAGATCGTCGCGCACGAGCGGCTACACCGTCGGGGATAGGGACAGCTACTTCGGGAACATATACAGCACCATCTACAGCTGCGCACGGACCGGGGGGCCCTGCGGGGGGGCGCTCTTCTGGCAGGTGATGGCCCCCGGCATGGACAACTGGAGCGACGGCTACGACGTCGTCTTCAACCAGAGCCCCTCCACCGACGCCGTTATATCTCTCCAGTCCGACCGAATTGCCGCCCTCGACCGTTAATTAGTTACTTAATTATATTTATTACATCCTCGCTCATATATATTAATTATATTCCTCAATAATACATGAGCTACCTAGCTACCTAATTACGTACTCTATACACATTTATAATGAAATGAATGAATATATATATATATATATATCATGATTCATTCATTCATTCATTCATTACCAGTATCAGTAATCATCATCATCATCATCATCATCGCTTTTAATTAATTTGTTGTTTCAGCCCTGGATATATATATATATATATCCATCAAAGTTGTAATGATAGATTAATAAATAATAAAATGATTATTGATTCCAAGACAGATTCTCATTTCTCTTCCATTTCTAATCTTCATTGTTTAACTTTCTTTTAACAATCTGTTGCTATATTTTAAGTGTTGTTGGTCTAGAAAATTTCTCCGACCTTAGAATTTTGGTTCACCTGAGAAGGTGGTTTTCTGAGCAATTCAATGTCAACTTTCGGTGCTATGCGATACACTTAGGAAATAGATAATAAAAATCAATTCTAAGAACAAACAACACAAACGAATTGTATTCTATTTAATATCAAATTATATTTTATACAAATTAAAACCAGAAAATGCAAAGAAAATGATAAGAAAAAAATAAAAAAAATAAAAAGAGAAGAAGAGAAGAAGATAATTTTGTGATTGAGATGTGGTTGTCCTCTTTCTTGCACAACTTGCTTTTTTTAAGGCAAAAACACATCCTTTGTCATTCTGTAACGCTCGCATTTAACTCTCCGAAACATTCACCCATAATCATCTTCACTGGGGATCACTGCCGCCTTCTTAATTGATCGATTAATGGCCATTATTTTTACCATTTAAATGATCGATTAATGACCAGTTACTCTCTTCATAAGAATTAAGGTAGTGAGCAATTAATCTATTGAATTGGATGAGAATAGTGACCAATTAATTGATCGATCAATCATCTATTGTGTTTTTTATTATTTTAATATTGTTTTCATTCTCACTTTATATTTATTTTTTTAAATTAAGTTGATTTTTAGTATTATATTATAATATATATTTTCAATTTTATATATTATGTTCAATTTTTTAGTCTTTTGATGTCATTTAATATTTGAAAATTTATGGTAAGTTTTTAATATATATAAAAATTTATTTTTATTGTAGTATTTTTTATTGTGTATGTATATTTTTTAATTATTTATTGTATTATTCTTATTTTTTTACGAATCAATTCTTTTTCATTCTTATTGTGTATGTTGTTTTTCTAATTGATTTGATTACGAGTAATATATTTTAATATTCTTCAATTTTATTAATTATATCAAAATTTTTAGTTTTTGATTTGAAAAATATTTAAAGGATTCATACAAAAAATTATAATAAATTTTAATGTATAAAACATATTTTATTTTAATAGTTTTATTATTATTGTGCATTTTTTTAAAATAATTTATTACGTTCTTTTTATTTTCTACTAATAGAATTTTTTTTATTACTATTATGTACCTATTTTTTTCTAATTTATTTGATTACAAGTATTATATTTCAATTTTTCTAAGGGTTACATTATATTTTGCATTATTGTACTTACCATTAAAAATATTTTTATATTTGTATAATTTTTTATACAAATGTCATTATATTAGTATTATAAGACACTAATTGAAGTACTTTTGTAACTTTTTATTTATTTGTACTACGTTTTGATATAATAATTAATATTTAAATATCAATACACAAAAAATAAATAAAACCCATTAGAACCGAACGGGATAGTAACACATATTACATACATATATACTAGCATTTAACTTATGTCATACACGAGTTATTATATTATATATTAATTTAGCATTTGTTATGTAATATAATATTTAATTTAATTTAAATTATAAAAATTAATTATTTTAATAATAACACATGTTACATATATATATATATACTAGCATTTACCTCGTGTTATGCACGGGTTATTATATTATATATTAATTTAGCATTTGTTTATAAATTATATATGTAATATATTATTAAATCAAATTAATTAAAAAAAAAATGACATATACAATAAGAATATAACAAATATATAGAGAAATAAGAAAAAAAATTAGATAATTAAAAGAAATTATATAGAAAAGAATAATTTTAATTATAAATTTGTAAACAACAAATTGGTAGGATTTATATTACAAAATAAGGAGTATAAAATAATTTTAATTATAAAAATATAAAAATAATCATATTATCTAATATATTTATATACAATAGAACATAAAAATAAAAATCGGTAGAATTTTTATTTTTTATTATTTACTATAAATGCAAAATGATAAAAATCTAAAAATATTATAAAATACCATATAAATACTTCAAGAATTCTAATTAAATATAATTTTTATATAAATATAAATCAATAAAAAGATATAGAAAATACAGTATAGTTTATAAAACCAACTAAACTTTTAAAGGTGAAAAAAATATTAAAATAGTAAATTACATTTATTCAACTTTTCTTCTTCTGATTTCTTTAATTTTCCCCTCCTTCGTCTCCGTATTCTTTAGGCACACATTTATTTTTCTCCGGTTTGGACTTCATATTGACCTAAAAGAAGATTGAAAAATTATCAATTTAACATACAATTTTCAAAATATGAAAAGTCATAAAAAAATATTTAAAAAAAAATTCAATGTTCTACACATTAAAAAAAATAAAGATAGTAAAACTTACACTTTTCTAAATATATATATGATAAGATAATATAACATAACATAAATATATTTAATATAGGACTTTTTATTAAAAAATATTGTCAATTTTTAAAAATTTTCCAAATAAAGATAGTAAAACTTACACTTTTCTCAAATATATATATTTATATTATATGATAAGTTAATATAACGTAAATATATTTAATATAGGACTTTTTATTTAAAAAAATTGTCAATTTTCTAAAATTTTTCATAACAAAATCTTGTTATTATTATTATTTTTTAATTTAGACATCTTTAATTACTATGATTATCATAAGAAAAATAATTAATTATTTTAAAAATATTTAAAAATTTTAAATTGATGCTACTCTTTATAAAATTAATATTAAATTATCCCTATAACATTATATATTTTTTTAATTAAAAAAATAACTAAAAACATTGTGGATGTACTAATTGAGAATGGTGGATCTCATACCTTTCTCATATATATATATATAATACAAATTATTTGTATTTTATTATTTTTATTCTTAATGTATATGTATTTTTTAATTATCTATTGTGTTTTATTATTTTATAAAAATAGCATAAAACCCTTTTGACTCATGCTTTTAAAATTTCAAAAACTTAATATTTCAGAAATGTTGTAAGAAAACCCCCACGGCTACACCAAAACTACAATAAAAACATCCATTTCATACATACATACGCCAAAGCTGCAATCAAAACATAAAAACATCCATCTCCCGAACGAACGTGTAGTCTACATGGAGCATTACGAATAATTGTATTACAAAACTGAAAAGTACATTCCAATTTCGGCATTACTCCTACTAAAACAATGTTGCTACTACAATACCAATCCTGCTAACACTAATTATAAGTTTGTACTGCTCCTACTATCCACTCCTACTATTAAACATACAAGACAAGGTAAGACAACACAATACGATAGGAGACGAAGCATCAAACACATACCAACTACATAAAACAATACCTTGGGCATATTAAGCACCATAATACCAATTGTGACAAGCTTGATGTACCTCATTGTTGCTCCCAAGGCTTTTATTTCGCAGCGTAGTTTGTCTACAACCACCTTGAGATTTCAGCCGCGACTACCTTTGTTTGTTTGAGTTGCTCCCCATCAAACACAATGGATTAAATCGCCGAGTCGTCCACTTCATCCACATCGTTGCTCCACTCCACAACGTGGGTGCTCACCGGATCAAGCCAACGAAAAATATCACAGGCACCAAAAGGGCAATTGCAAAATAATTTTTCTGATCATATTTAATAGTAAATATTAAAATGATTGCAAAAAAAAAATAAATAAAATACATAACTTTATTTGCTTCCAAATAAATTCATTTATCAGCAGCACAAAATTCGCTCCCTTTTGTTGCAAATTACCACGAAAATTAAAAATTTTCGATTGGTAATAGATCCTAAACAAAACCGAATTCTCTTCGAAAATTTCAATGCAAAAATTACAGTGGCAGGGGTTCCAAAATTGCGATTCAAGAAGAGCGATTCGCATATTAATTCTAAACAAAAATTATAGCATTGAAATTCATAAAATTTCCGTGACATGATGAATTTCAATATTTCAAATGAATTACCAAAACAAATTACCACCCAAGAAAGTCAAATTTCCACGTCAAATCAACACACCCAGACCTGTAAACGGTAACATGAGATCAATAATACATACAACTTATATCGGAATAGATCCTAAACAAATTTGCAATCTCGTTGAATGAATCCCACGACTTCACAATGATCTAAAACTGACAGACAAAGTCGAACAAAAAAATGAATCACCCAATCCCGATTTGAGAAAGAATTTTTTTTTAAAATAAACAGAAATTTACGAAACTTCAACCCTAAAATGGACATACCCGAAATTTGTGGAATTCTAGCTCCGGCTCGATAAAGGCGGCATTGGGACTTCATTTGGTTACTCAATGTGATTGTGTTTTCAGGTAAGAAGAAGATAATGTGAAATAAGTTTTTTAGAATTTTAGAAGGGCATGAGTTTTCAATATAATATTTCTGAAACCATAAGAGATTTTTATGCTATTTTGCTTTTTTTTTTTTTTTTTTTTTTTTTTTTCTACTAATCATTTTTTTTATTCTTATTATACATATGTTCTTTTAAGTATAATATTCTAATATATTTTTCAGTTTTTTAGATTATGTCCGAATTTTGAGTGTTTTGATTTGAAAATTTATTTAGGAAATTAATACAACAACTTTTAATATACAAAATTTTATTTTTATTTTAATATTTTAATTCTTATTATATATGTATTTTTTATAATTATATATGGTATTTTTTTTTATTTTCTACTCCCTCCATCTGATGTACCATGTCTACGTTACCATTTATGTAAGTTTCACATCTCATGTAATCTTCTTTGTAGAAAAAA